TTGTATAAATTCATTCATTCATNTCATTCATTCATNTCATTCATTCATTTCATTCATTCATTTCATTCATTCATTTCATTCATTCATTTCATTCATTCATTTCATTCATTTCATTCATTTCATTCATTTCATTCATTTCATTCATTTCATTCATTTCATTCATTTCATTCATTTCATTCATTTCATTCATTTCATTCATTCATTTCATTCATTCATTCATTTCATTCATTCATTCCTTCATTCATTCTTTCATTCATTCATTCATTCATTTCATTTCATTCATTCCTTCATTCATTCTTTCATTCATTCATTCATTCATTCATTCATTCATTTCATTCATTTCATTCATTCATTTCATTCATTCATTTCATTCATTCATTCATTCATTCATTCATTCATTTCATTCATTCATTCATTCATTTCATTCATTCATTCATTTCATTCATTCATTTCATTCATTCATTTCATTCATTTCATTCATTCATTCATTTCATTCATTCATTCATTTCATTCATTCATTCATTCATTCATTTCATTTCATTCATTCCTTCATTCATTCTTTCATTCATTTCATTCATTCATTCATTCATTTATTTATAATTATTTACAGATGCGAATGTGGATAGGAGTGACTTGAGCCATCCCATCCATTCCGACAACTGCATCATACAGCCTGATAACAGCTGCCTCAAAGTCAGACCCGCTTACACTGAAAGAGATTATTCGTATGTTTGTATGTTTGTTTGTTTAAATGTTCGTGTTTGTATGTTTGTTTGTATGTTTGTTTGTATGCTTGTTTGTTTGTTTGTATGTATGTATGTTTGTTTTTTAGTTTTTTGCGTATTTTTGTCTTTTGTGTATTAGGTCATTTATGTATGTTTGTATTGTTTGTGTTTGTTTAATTGATGGATTACTTAATTAATTAATTAATTATGTAGCGCTCTACTTTACTTGAATGATGATTTCCATGGAGGCGAGTTCTTCTTCGCCCATCAGAATATGTCCGTTCAGGTATTCATCCGTTTGATTTTTTTTCATTCATTTGTGCACTCATTTGTTCATTCATTCATTTGTTTGTTCTTCCATTCATTCATTCATTCATTCATTAAAATTTGCAGTCAACAATGAAGCCACAGTGTGGCCGTGTTGTGACATTCAACGCCGGCATATACCACGGCGTCAAACCTGTTCTATCTGGTTGGTTCTTTCTTCCCTTTCATTCATTCTCATTCTCATTCGTTCGTTCATTCATTCATTCTATTTGTTCGTTTATTCATTTCATGCATTCATTTATTACCGTTTCATCTTATTCTACATTCCTTCCTTCATTCCGCGTTCTATCATCATACACTCACTCACTCACTCACTCACTCACTCACTCACTCACTCACTCACTCACTCACTCACTCACTCACTCACTCACTCACTCACTCACTCATTCATTCATTCTTATTCGCAATTAGGTCAAATAGTTATTATTAATCACCAACTAATTAATTCCCGATATTATGTAAATAGGTCAGAGGTGTGCCCTGGCCATCTGGTTCACACTGGAGAAAAGATTCGCTGAAAAAAGTCACGAGGTGGCCGAGAAAGCCCTGAATGACCTTGTTAATAGGGCATTCGGTCCCAATGATTATTTGCATGTCGAACTCTGATTGGCTGGACTTCTTTTGTCTGGCGATTCATTGGTTGATGAGTTTTTGCTGTGATGTGAATGGCTGGAGAAGTGAGTGAAAAGGAGTGATTTGTCGTGTGGTGATTGCTTGCTGTGACGTAATTGGTGGGGTGAATTAGATCAATTAATTTGATTGGCTGTGGTGATTTTGTACCGTGATATATGATTAGCCGGAGAATGAAGATCACAAATAAATGAAATAATCTAAATTGTTGGAGGAATTTAGTGTCAGTGTTTCTTATTCCCAACCGACAACGACATTATTGTTATTGATTTTTTCAATCATTGTTAAACTTTCATATTGACATTGATATCATATTTATCCATATTTATATCTCATTGTTCATTGATATTATATCTGATATTATATCTGATATATATATGTATGTATATATATATATATATATATATATATATATATATATACAAAATTATTTTTCTCATTATTTTATTCTAGTTATTGAAATGTTTATTTGGTGTAACATTGATCTGATTTGTGCATTCATTCGTTCTTTCACTTATTCGGTTTTGTTTTCTTTCTTCATTCATCCATTCATTCATTCATTCATTCATTTCATTTGTTATTTCTTTATAATTCCATCTTCTCTTTCTTTGACATATATGTACATGCAGACGACTGGTTATTTATTATTCGCGCTTTTTTTCACTCATTCAATCGATTACTCTTTTTCACATTCATTCATTATTCATTCATTCATTCATCCATTCATTCATTCATCCATTCATTCATTCATCCATTCATTCATTCATCCATTCATTCATTCATCCATTCATTCATTCATCCATTCATTCGTCTATTCCTGAGTGGAGTTCGGTCAATGACATAGAATTAATCATTTTCTCCTTATCCAATTATACAACTTTCAGAAAAAAAATTTATATGTATATTGAAACGCATTATATGTATCTATACATATATATATATATATATATATATATATATATATATATATATATATATATATATATATATATATATATATTCATATATGCGTTGTTACGTTAAATGCGTATATATATATATTCATATATGCGTTACGTTAAATGCGTTTCAATTTAGACTAGAGATCTTCTAGTAGCATTAGTATTATATAGTATTGTTAATGTATATGTATGTATGTTTGAGTTTTTCTCTGTGTGTGTGTGTGTGTGTGTGTGTGTGTGTGTGTGTGTGTGTGTGTGTGTGTGTGTGTGTGTGTGTGTGTGTATTTATATAAATGCTTACATTACTAATCGTATGCTTAAATGCTTGTGCTAAATTTTACCTCATAAACCTGAGTAAACATCTTTCTCACTCTCTCTCTTTTTCACTTTCCCTCTATTCTCTCATCACCAACTTTTCTCTCCCTTTCTCTCTCTTCCTCTCTCTCTCTTTCTATCAAGCTCTCTTTTTTCATTACATGTCTAATCATCCTTTATTCTGTTTTGTTTGTTACCTTCTCACATGCTGATATTTTTTCTTTTCATCCAATCATCCATTCATTCTTTCGTCCGTTCGCTCGTTCGTTTGTTCATTCATTCGTTCGTTCGTTCATTCATTCGTTCATTCATTCATTTTTCTTAGTTACCCTGAGTTGTTGAGATTTTGCTTCTTGTTTATTTTAACATAGAATAAAAATTGACTATCTGCTAAGAACTATAATCTAGAGATAGACATTTTAATTTCAATCGTCATTTTATTTAAATTTTGTTAGTTCGTTAGAAACATTTCCAAAGACTATTATTATTATCTATTATTATTGTTATTATTATTATCATTTGGTGTAATTATTATTATTATTATTATTGAGCATTTTTTTATATTCTTACTTTCACATTGACATGAATAAGCCTAAGAATGTTTTGAATGCGAATATGTATACATGAATGTGTGTGTGTGAATGTATATATATATGTATATATATATATATATATATATATATATATATATATTTATTTATATATATACACAGTTATTATACTTAAAATGTTTTATTTTATATAGCTAAACAAATACCGACATACTTGAATTTTATATCACTTTCTTTTTTATTTTAAATCATTTTAATTTGTCTTTGAATCATTTTATTTTAAAATTATCATTTTAATTTGTCTTTGAATCATTCTATTTTAAAATTATTTTATTTTAAAATTTTAATTATTTTCTGTGGTTATTATTTTTATCTTTGTTGATTATATTTTGAAATTCTTTTCTTCAAAATGAATAAAATAATAAAATCAAATTATTTTTTCTAAAAAAAAAAACGTTTATTTTAGTTAAAATGATTGCTTGCTATATACACAAACACACAGTTGCACACACATACACACACACATATATATATATATATATGTATACTGTATATATATATATATATATATATATACAAATGTAATAATATATAATGTATGTTACCATAGTTTTCTTTATATTTATTTATTTAATAGACATCTGCATGTTGTTCACGTTATGATGATGATGATGATGATTAGTATGATGTTGATGATGATGATCATTAGTATGGTGTCGATGATGATGGCGATGATGATTAGTATGATGGTGGTGATGATGATGGCCAGGAAAGAATAGTAATGATCTTAATCATCATCATCATCATAACAGCCGATAAATGACTCATCGCTATGGCAACAGCTAAATATTTCGTATCTATGTACCTTACCTACACTGATAATTACTGTCATTATTATTCATCTTTGCTGCTACCTCAGTTCACTTTTATTGCTTTGCTATTCAAATTGGCGTCAATTTGTTCGCTAATTACCACTTTCATAATTACCTTTACGCGTTTTATACGCCATAATGAACACTAAACTACCACAGCATGCGATTTAAATGACAATTTTGTTTAAGAAAATGAAAATGTATCCTATGTTTCAATGCGTGAAAATTAAAGTAAGAAACAAGGCATTTTTCACTAATCCGGATGCCAAACTACCTTAGATAAGATTTCTTTTAATGTGGTGAGATCGTATAGTTATATTAGTTCATCTAAAGAAAAAATAAACGTAAAAAAATGAGAGTAAAGGCCTGCAAATAAGTTGCACGTCGTGCACATATATAGATATAGACGTATTGAGGACAAGAAAAGATGCACGTGACAACACTATTAAAAATTACTTAACTTAATTGAACTACTTTTAGATAATATGAGGGTTGGTTTGTAGTAAATTAGCATTTTTTTTTGTTTTTATGCGAAGCATGTCTGGACGGATCAATGATGATTCGGCTGAGCAAGCAGCCATATTGATCTGTTATCTTATTGCTATAGTAGCGCGAGCGCGGTTCGTAACTAAGTTGTATTACTACGCGTCATGTTACTAAATTTAAATTTTTTGAGTAAAATGTTTCAAATGTGAATTATATTGTAACAATTCATTGACATTTGTAAATTTATAATTATATTTGCAAATTTGTATTGAAACAATACTGCTTTAATGCAAATGAATAATTATATGTAAATGTTATTTCATCAGCGCAAGAGTGCTGCGTCGTTAATTGCACTGCGGCTTCAAAGCCTATAAAAGAGTGCAGCTTGAACTATTTGCCCGAACCAAGCATAAAATATCGGCGAGGCATTTTTTCAATTTTTCCCATAAAATCTGCTATAAAAATAAATCAAAATGCGTGAAATCGTTCATATCCAAGCCGGCCAGTGCGGAAACCAAATTGGTGCAAAGGTACGCCACTTATTTTTGTATTAAAATTACAGTAGTAGGCTGCTGATGATATACGTCTCGCAGCATCATGGCGTCTTTTTAAAATAGCGTCTGACAATTTTTTTCAAAAAATAGTTCTGGGAGGTTATTTCGGACGAGCACGGCATCGACCCTACCGGCACATACCACGGAGATTCGGACCTCCAGCTAGAAAGAATCAACGTTTACTACAATGAAGCTACCGGTAATTATTTTTAATTGACTTGCTTTCAACTTTTAGTATTTTATTTTTAGATCAATATTTTATTTCATCCTACTTGTCTGTTGCCTTTTTAAAATTCTGTTTATACGTTTTTTAAAGGTGGCAAGTACGTCCCCAGAGCCATTTTAGTTGATTTAGAACCCGGTACAATGGACTCTGTGAGGTCTGGTCCGTTTGGTCAAATATTTCGACCTGACAACTTTGTATTTGGTCAGAGTGGTGCCGGTAACAATTGGGCCAAAGGTCATTACACAGAGGGAGCTGAATTGGTTGATTCTGTACTTGATGTAGTCAGAAAAGAAGCAGAAAGTTGTGATTGTTTACAAGGCTTCCAACTTACACATTCCCTGGGTGGTGGTACTGGTTCCGGTATGGGAACTCTCTTGATCAGCAAAATAAGAGAAGAATATCCAGACAGAATCATGAACACATTTTCAGTTGTGCCATCCCCAAAAGTATCAGACACTGTTGTCGAGCCATATAATGCCACACTCTCTGTACATCAACTTGTAGAAAACACTGATGAAACATATTGCATTGACAACGAAGCTCTATATGATATCTGTTTCAGAACATTAAAATTGACAACGCCAACATATGGTGACCTCAACCACTTGGTTTCAGCTACAATGTCAGGTGTGACCACATGTCTTCGTTTCCCTGGTCAACTGAATGCAGATTTACGTAAACTTGCAGTTAATATGGTTCCCTTCCCCCGTCTCCACTTCTTCATGCCAGGATTCGCACCCCTCACGTCCAGAGGCAGCCAGCAGTACAGGGCTCTCACAGTTCCAGAGTTGACTCAACAGATGTTTGATGCCAAGAACATGATGGCTGCATGTGATCCTCGTCATGGAAGATACCTAACAGTTGCTGCCATCTTTAGAGGTAGAATGTCGATGAAAGAAGTTGATGAGCAGATGTTGAATGTTCAAAATAAGAACAGCAGTTACTTTGTTGAGTGGATTCCAAACAATGTAAAGACAGCAGTCTGTGACATTCCTCCAAGGGGTCTTAAGATGTCAGCCACATTCATCGGTAACTCAACAGCTATCCAGGAGCTGTTCAAGCGCATATCAGAGCAGTTCACGGCTATGTTCCGTCGTAAAGCTTTCTTGCACTGGTACACTGGTGAGGGTATGGATGAGATGGAGTTCACTGAGGCAGAGTCCAACATGAACGATTTGGTGTCCGAGTACCAACAATACCAAGATGCCACAGCTGAAGAGGAGGGCGAATTCGAAGAGGAAGAAGGAGAGGGTGAAGCAGCTTAATTAAATGACAACATTTGTGTACTTGTCCTCATTATTATCTCTATTAATGCTATGTCATTGTTTTCATTTTATGTACAACTCCAAGCATCATATTACTACTCGTGACATTTCATAATATTGGTTGATGAGTGTGGAGGCATGCATGCATGTGAATTTATCACTTGTTGAGGTTTAATGATGGTTTGTGTGGTTGGATTGAGTGGAGTTAGTTTTATTTTGTTTGGAACTCATTGTTCTTTTGTTAGATTTTTATTTTGTTTAAAATTGCATCCTGATTGGCTGGGTTTTTTTTTACATTGAATAAGTCATTTTTCATATTAAGGATGCTGAATTGTTTTCCAGTTATTATTCAACTTGTTTTATTATATTTTTCGCAAGCTGTAAGTTTTTTACATTCATTCATAATTTTCTGGAACAAATTAAAAATATACATTCAAGTTGCAAAATTGTTGGGTACTTTTTTCGAAAATTAATAATTTGAAAATGAAAAGTTAGTGTAATCGTTCGTCGCCGCTAAGTAGATCCAGCGGATGGGTGTTGCCATAGTCTCGTTAGTGTCCGTGTTAGTTTTTATACCTGGCCATGGTTATGTATCCGTGGCTGGGTTCAGCTACTGTCGCTTCCTCGCTCTCGTCTGTTGAATCCAATCTTCTCTGGTGGAACTGGTGCACTAGATCCCTCCTGTGTGCCAACATGTTCTCCGGCAGGGAGCATTTGCGCGCGTTGATGTTGGCCGGTTGAGGGGGGTGCAGTTGGACGGGCACTGAAACTTGCTTGCACCTTTTCATCAAAGCGGTGCTTTCCGCTTCCCTGAATATCTCGATCTCTCTGGAACGACGGGTGGTCTGTCTGGTGTGGGTTTAAAAGAGTCGTGACGTTCGTAGACGTCGTCGTCATTTTCTCTCGAGTCAGTTGATCTGGAAATTGGGGGCAGGGTGTTCGACATGGGCGAGCACTTTGTCGGGTGGGGCGATGGTGTGGATGAACAGGAAGAAGATAGTGACGTCAGTTGGTAAGTTGGTGACGTAACTGATGATTGACGGTTAGGAGGTAAAGGAATGGATGATTTTTTCTCTAAACTCATTGTCTTCGGTCTTGGTGGCACTGTCGGAATTTTTATAGTCGGCATAGGTGTGGAAGTGTTTGTCGCTGCTAATGTCGCTACTGCTGCTGCTGCTGTTGGATTGTTAGGCGAGTGAGCGCTTGATTGATGATGATGATGCTGATAAAGAGATTTTTTTTTGAAGATACTAAATAACGTCTTCTTTACAGTTTTGGTAAAGTCATCCTGCAAGAAGAGAACATTCATTCAGTATTTTAGCGTGTTATAAATACCTTTTTTTGAAGTACCGTTAGTATTGTTCATCATTATAAGTTAAATTATTCATTTATCACAATTCCCTCTGTGATATCAACAACAAACAAGGCACCACACACGCATTGCATGCGATAAGCATTCGAATACAGTCACTTCGACTATTAGATTAATATACTAATTTAAATTTAATTACTAATTTTATTATTAATACATTTAACATTTATTGCTAAATTAAAACTAACATTTGATTTTTTATCCTTGTAGTTGTATTTCATCTCCCATTGCTTGTGCAAGTCGGCAACTTCACCACAAGTGATCTCGCCATTTTTAACGCGCTGCAGAATGCAAACCAGTTCCTTCTGTGAAATATCTTTGGCCCCATATCGTATAAAGTCATTGTCGTCGCTGGTGTCGCCGCTGCTGGTTTTGTCTTTGTCGTCGTTCGCCATTCTCTCTGATGGTTTTGAGGTCGGGTTTTGGTCTGTGGTTTTGTTTAATTTATTAATTTATAACATAATGATAATCTGTTTGTGTGTTGTGTGTGCGTGTGTGTGTGTCTGTTTTTATAATGTGTGTGTGTGTGTGTGTGTGTGTGTGTGTGTGTGTGTGTGTGTGTGGTGTGTGTTTGTCTGTTTTTATTTTGTCTACCTCCGCTGTTATTTTTGAAGTTCATCGTGAAGTACGTGCAATCCAGAGTATCGCAGGAATCATTATCGCCACTCAACTGTTGCAAAGTTTAAAAGAACTACATTTTAAAATTTATTTATTTGTTTTTTTTCAATTAAAAGACACATAAATAAATGAATAAATAAATTTACCCGTGCGTGTGTCTGTCAGTTCTTATAATAAATTATATTAGAAAGAAAGCAATTATACAAACGACATGACAGCACCAAACCTGATCTTCAAGCAGAATCCCCAACTCCTTATTCCCGGACGAAAAAGCCATTTCTGTTGGCGTCATACTTTTGTTATTCCGGATAGCCAGGGACGCAGTCGAATCCGGAAGATCGAGAAGAGAGGAGGCGAAGAGGCGCAAATCCTGTTTTGCAGCCAAGTGCATTAGCGTCGGTAGCTGTGCCGAGCTGTTAGCTGCAAGAAAATGAATGATTGAATGGATGTTTAGTGGGTCTGGTTGATTAAGCGTTTTATTTTTACTGCTTAACTTGTTAGCTGATCGCGGCCAACAGCTTGGATGGGTGACCTTACATTCTATTAATTCGATAGAGAACGATAGAAATGGATAATTGTCGTAAAATTCTAAAAATATGCACATGAACTTTGTGTTGCTAAGAAACAATATCAAGCAATCCATCAATCAATCAATCAACTAACCAAGTATCAACCAATCCATTAACCAACAAACCAATCAATCAGCCAATCAACCAACCAACTAACTGTTCAAATATTTGAAAGATCCAAAAAAATGTTCGAAAGCTCGAACGCTGAACTGATCAATGTCACTGGAGACCGAGAAAACGTTTGCCAGCTTTGCATCCAGCACATCCTTAATTTTTTGAAATTCTTGCTGTTGTTCGTTAGTGGCAGCAGTAGCTGCAGTAGCAGTAATGGCTGCCGTGGTAGTGGTGGTTGCAGCGGTGGTGAGGGTTGTAGGCAGTAGCATGTCGCAGCAAATGTTGAGAAGGTGGATGTAGATTTGAGAGACTTCCACTACTAAATCAGATCCAAGAGAACGTACGTATGTTAAATAGATGTTGTTGCTGTTGCTGCTGTTGTCGTTGTTGTTGAATAATTTCTTGTTGTTACATATTATTTCTACTTTTTTTCGACCGGGTGAAAGACCTATAGTTGGTTTTTTAGAAATTGCGCTATATAAATAACAATTAATTGGTTGATTGATTGATTGATTGGTTAATTGATTGATTATCTAAATATTGTATTGCCTTAGTAATATAATATAAATAATTTTCGGTTGATTCATTGATTAAAAAGCCTGAAAATACTCTTAAAAATATAAACTTTAATCTAAAAAAAAACTATAACACAAGGGTAGACATAACGACAAAGAGGTCGCCAGCCAGACATTATGACCAAATAAAGAGCCACCCACGAATCTTAAAAAAATTCTCCCCCGGGTCGAAAAAATTTGGTATTTAAGTACATATGCGGCCCTTCAAAGGTCAAATAGTTCTCGATGCGGCCCTCACAGCAAAAAGTTTGCCCACCCCTGCCATAGCCTAACTTTAAATCACATTTTTTATACAAATTACAATTACGACAACTTATTTACGTGTAAATAATTTGTTCTCAATTCACTTGAGGTTACTGTCCTAGGATTACGCCAAAATAATTATTACTATCTTAACCGTAATACAAATTTAAAAATAAAATTACACCAAAAAACTCATCAAATCATTTAATTTATTTATTTTTAAAATAAATAAAATAAAAATGTTAAAAGAATTTTCTAACATGGCGCCATAAATGAGAATGTTTTATCGTTTATCCAACAGACGCTTAGTTCGTTGCAGTCGTCATCATCGTCGTCATCGTTATTATTATTATTATTGTCATTATTATTACTATTGTTGATGTTATTATTGTTGTTGTTACTGTTGTTGCTTATGACGTCATCTTTGTTGATTTTGTTACTCTTGTTAACGTATTTTAACAGGACTTTCATGGATTTGATCATTTCTCTTGCGTTGTGGCTGCTGCTGTTGTTGCTGTTGTTAGTATTATCACTGTTGTTGTTGTTGAGAAATTTTTCAATTGTTGTTCTGATTGAGCGTTTGAGTACGACAACAACAAGCGTCTCTTCCTGAAGAAAATTTTCAATTTGTGAAAAAAAATTGATGGGGCAAAAAAAATTTTAACGAAAGTATATTTTGCCAGCCATGACATCAATGATGACGTCATCGTCAGCAACAACACCACAAACGACAACAACACCGAGTAGCATCGTCAATAACAACAACAACACCAAAGACACCAAATAACCTCGCATCTTGCTTCGTACGGAAACAGTTCAAAGTCAACATTATCGCCGAGACAACCATCATCACCATCACCACCATCATCACCACAACCCCGAAAAACTCTCTCGACACCATCATCACCATCTTCATCATCACTATTATGTACTGCGACAGCGATGTCTAACTCATTACTAATAGTTTTCTTCGCTGACATTTTGGCCAATTTTGTGGTAGGCGTGGCGAGAGAAGCAGCTTCTTCGGCTATCAAATCGGCAATCTTACACTTTTCAGAATTTGTGGGACTAATTGTTTTATTCTGAATGTTGAGTGATATGCCGTAGGTATCGTACAAATTACTATCGTGAATTTTGTCTCGATGTTCTTTATCACTTTTAATGTAATCACTCACGTAATCATCATCATCGTTGTCGTCGTCGTCAACAGCAGCATCATTGTTGTTGTTGTTGTTATTGTTGTTATTGTTGTTATTGTTGTTGTTATTTTTGGCGCTAATGTAATCATTATAGCTAGAGTATGTAGGTAGTAAGTAGTCGGGTGTGTCGCATTCGTAATCGTCATCATCTTCGTCCTCATCTTCGTCGTCGTCACGTTTCACGCCGTCGTCGCCATCATCGCCATCTAAAACGAAACCGGAAATGCATTCAGTGACGTCACTGACAAGAGTCACGTGATCGGCGTGCTCGTACTTGAACCAGGTGGTGTAGTTGTGGAAGCGCTCTGAGAGCGTTCGACCGCTCCTGTCGATCTCAAATAGACGCAACTTCTCGACGCCACAAAAAAATAAAATCTTCTTGCAGTCATGTGACCTGTTGTGGTGGTTGTGGCTGATGTTGTAGCTGCTGCTGCTGATATTATTGGTGGCTTTTTTCAAATTTAATTTTGGTGAATTTACCGATTGATTTATGGACGGTTTTTTATCTTTGGCTGTTGTCGAAGTTGTTGTTGTTGTTGCAGATGTTGTTGTTGTTGCTTTTAACGTTCCAAATTTTGAGGCGTACCTATCATTCAGCATGCCATCACACAAATCCGGGGTGACTATAACCATCAACACCCTACTCATCAGATATTGTTGTTGCAGTTGTTGTTGATAATGATGACGTTGTTGTTGCTGTTGTTGCGAATGATGATGATGATGTTGTTGTTGTTCGTTGTAGGTGTTGAACATAATCATCAGCTCTTCATATTGGCTAGCTTTTAGCGATTTTAGTCGAACGCTTGTTGAACAAGTGCACTTTTTTCTAGCTAATTTCCCAGCTCTTTTCCAGTTAATATCATTATTGTTGTTGTCATCGTTAGAGCCATTAAAGTTATTATTGCCATTGTTGTTGGTAATATTGTCATTATTATTATTATTGTTGTTGTTGTTGTCTCCGTGAGCTGGACATTTATTACGGAAATACTCACTTGACAAGTTTAGTTGAATAAGCTCTAGAAAGTAGTCGCTCCAGATTTGACCGTCATCGGTGGCCACTACCAAGAGATCTAGGATGTTGTTGTTGGGTTTATTATTATTATTGTTGTTGATGTTGTGGGTTTTTTTGATGTTGTTTGTTGCCATGTTTGCTGGTTTTGATAGCGTCGATAAGCTTCCTTTGATGTTGTTGTTGCAGTTGTTGCTGACTATATGAATAAATTCAAAAGTTGTTGTTGTAGTTGTTGTTGATGATGTTGTTGATGATATGACTAAAATCAAAAAATTACGTTGTTGATGTTATCGTTGATGTTGTTGTTGTTGATGTTGTTGTTGTTGATGTTGATGATAATGTTGTTGATGTTGTCGTTGATGTTATTGTTGATGTTGTTGATGTTGTCGTTGTTGATGTTGTTGTTGATGTTGTCGTTGTTGATGTTGTTGTTGTTGATGTTGTCGTTGTTGATGTTTCGAACTCTGAAATTGTTGATGAAAAATTTATAGCACCTCTATCGTTGCAATCCATCAATCCACATAGCTAAATTTAGCTATTTAATAAAGGATACATATATAAAGCTTAGTTAAAGGATATTCGCATATATATAATTATAATAATTATTATTATTCTTTTTATTATTATTATTATTAATTAGGTATTAATAAACATACAGGCAGACGTAGAGCAGCTAAGTCTAATAGAGACAATCATCTTTTTTAAGAATTATAACGATAATAAAATAATTATTAATATCTATTTATCGCGGTAGTAGTAATAATAATAATTATTATTTTTATTAAATTATAATAATAATATAATAATAATAAAAAATAATAATAATGTTATTAATTGTTATTTATTTTGTAATGGCAATTATTATTTCCTAGCGCGTGAATTGTATGAAATGAACATGCAAGTGTAATTCAGAGAGAAAGGAAGCGAAAGAAAGAGAGAGAGAGAGAGAAAGAGAGAGAGGGAGAGAAATTAAATAATGAATTGAAGGAAAAAGCAGAGAGAGAGAGAGAGAGAGAAAGAGAGAGAGAGAGAAAGAAAGAGAGAGAGAGAGAGAGAGAGAAAGGAAGTCAAATGATTACCTACATTACAACTAATGATAAGATGCGGGTTGAATTCATTGGAATCCATTTAGGAAACGATGATGATAACGATGACGACGACGACGACGACGATGATGATAATAATGATGATGATAACTGTTTCATTGTTAATTTTCTAGCGTCGTTGTGAATACAAACGTCAAATAGAAATATATTTTGAAAACCCGGATGTTCTCAAATATATATATATATATATATATATATATATATATATATATATATATATATATACATATAATTTATGTAAAATTGTATGTATATATTTATATGTACTACTACTACTGCTACCATTACTACTACTACCACTACTGTTACTACTAGCTACTGCTGCTGCTACTGCTGCAACTACAACTAAAGATTACTACTACTACTATTACAACTACAACTACAATAGTAATAATGTTATTATTGTTATTGTTATAATGAGTCGGGTGTTAATTAGCATTTGGCAAACTGTGTAGAGTATGCGGCTCTATCATCATTATCTGTGATAATGATGATAATAGTGATAATAATAATAATGAATGATGATGATGATGATGGCGAAGAAGACGATGATGATGATAAAGAAGAAGAAGATGATGGTGGTAGCGATGATGATGAAAAAGAAGAAGATGATGATGGTGAAGATGACGGTGATGATGATAAAGATGATAATGATGATGATGGTGAAGATGTAGATGGTTAGGATGATGTTAGTAATGATTTTAATGTTGATAATGATAATAATATCGATTATTACAAAAATAAAAATGACAATGTTGGTAATGATGACGATGTTGTAATGATGATGATGACGTAATAATGAACGATGTTTGACGTCAGTTTCGCTTTGATTTTATTTTGACTTAAATTAAATTTTAAAATTGTTATTTTATCTTTGCTGGCGTTACTAAGGAGCTAACTAGCTAATTCTTTGTTTACATTGATCTATTTTCGTTCCTATTTTTCGCCACCACGTATTTTTTAATTAATATCCTAAAAAATTAGTGACGATGAATAAAATTAAAAATTTTAATAGCAAAAAATCAAAATTGAATAATAACCTTCATTCCAAAGATAAAAATCAAATTCTCCTACAAAGAATCAACGATTCGACAATTACTAATTCCGAACTTGAGAAACTTCTATCCGGTTTCGGCAATTTCAAGCTGCCCCCAGCTCGTAATTATAGATAACAATTGTTATTTTTTTGATAAAAATTTTAACAAGATAATTTTGAAAATTGTAAAACTTAAAGAATAATATTAATTTATTATAATAAATTATTAATTATCAATTAATTAATTTAATATTTTTTTAATTATTAAATTTACATTTTTTCTAATTTTTACCCCAAGGAAATCCGGAAAAACTACTAATTACTACACCAGCACCACTGTCATCTGCCAGTAAAAACTCTTCTCCTAATCAGTCAAGAAAAAAATTAGGTACTAGTTTACCAAATTTGAGCAACAACAATAGCCGGCCAAATACAAATAATATTAATAATAATAATAAACTAAATAATATTGATAATAATAATAAATTAAATAATAATAATATTAATAATAAACTAAGAATAAATAATGGTGATAATAAATTTAGTAGAAATAGTAATAATGATAAATTAGATGATGGTAAACATCTTGGAACAAAGATGCGTAATAAAAATTCTACTGGCAGTGACAAGGAAAAATCAGTAAGTAACACTAATATAGCTGTTGCAACGACAACATTGTTGCCAACAACAATAGCAACAAAAACAGCAACAACAACATTGTTGCCAACAACAATAGCAACAAAAACATCTACAACGACATCAACAATACAATTATTAACATCAGCAGCAACAAATACAGCTGCAATAGTTGCTAACAACAACAGCAATGACAATGTTAATAATGCGACAACAACGACAACTACTTCTACTACTATACAACCAACAACAAAAATGTTAACAATGATTGAGAAGAAGAAATTATTGTGGGAGCAAGAAAAAGGTTTCATTCATCCATTATTCATCTGTCTATGTGTCTATTTTTTATTCATTCAGTCATACAACCATCTATCCATTTATCAATCTATCTATGTATCTATTCATCCATTCATCCATTTATTCTTCCATCAGTACATCTTTCTATCTATCTATGTTTGTTCTATGTATTGAATGATTGAATGAATGCATGGATGGATGAACCATGAACGAACGAACGAACAAACAAATGAATAGGTGAATAAATGAATGAATGATTGAATGAATGAACGAATGAACGGACAAATAAACGAATAAAACAACCAGCTGACGAACAGATGATGATGTCGTATAACCCGTGGGGGCGTAGCGGAGCAGGTGCGCCGATCAGAGATGAGGATGGAAATGTATACAATGACTATGCATCTAGAGGGGTATGTTGTGGCTGCTGTGGTTGAGGCTGTTGCGGTTGTGGCTACTGCAGCTGCTACAGAAGCTGCTGCTGTTTGTTTGGTTTTACAGTTTATTCCTTTATTTTATTTATCATTTCAGTTTTTTATCGGATTAAAGCTTGAATGAATGAATGAATGAACGAACGAATGAATAGGCAAATTTATTTATTCATTTCTTTAATCATTCGTTCATTCATTCATTCATTCCTCATTTTTCACACAAAGGTCATTTTAAAAAGTTTAAAAATGAAATATAGTTTGAATAGCGCAAAGGTTTTTATTATTTTATTTTGTTCTAGTTATTTTTGTTCTCTGTTTTCGTTTGTTTGTTTGTCTATGTTTGTATGTTTTGTTCATGCTATTTCCGCTTTTAATAATTTCATTTAATTGTAAAACAAAAAATAATTTTGTGAAAAATTATTTATTTATTTATACAAAATAGAAAAAGAACTCAGATGCAATGACAACAACATCGTCATCATCATCAAACAACAACAACAACAACGACAACAACAACAACAACAACTCAAACAACAACTATAATGACGTCATGACAACAACAGCAGCAACAACAACAACAACAACAATTTTAAATAGTCGAAACGTCAATAATAACTTTTACGATCAAGCTTTAGATGAGGTCGAAGAGAAGAAAAGAAAGTATAAGAAGTATCAGGTTAATGAATGAATGAATGAATGAATGAATGAATGAATGAAGAAATGAATGAGTGAATGAGTAAATGAATGAACGAATGAACGAACGAACGATTGAATAAATTGTAAACAGGAAGAGCTGAAGCTGCAGATCGAGATGAATAAGCAGCAGAAGCAGCTGGAGAAGCAGAAGAGGTTGAAAGAAGAAGCTGACGAAATGAACAACATTCAACAACAACAACAACAACATCATCAACAACAACAACATCAACAACAACAGCATCAATTTATAAATACCAACAACTTGCCAATAGCAAACATCAACAATGTCAGCAGCCACAACAACAGTAGCAGCGACAGAAGCGACAACAACAGCAGCAGCAACAACAACAACAGCAACAACAACAACAACAACGTCGTTTTCAATTCTCTTTTCCTGGCCCAGCAAGAGGCAGAAAAGTTGAAGATGGAAGGATGGCTGAAGAAGTTAATACTAGGAGGTCATGATATTGAAAAGTTTAAAGCCAAATATGAAGGTATATATATATATCTCTCTCTCTCTTTCTCTCTCACTCGCTCTCTCTATCTATATCTTTCTCTCCCTTTTTTTTCTCTCTGCTATATATATATATATATATATATATATATATATATATATATATATATATATACATACATACATATTATTTGTTAATTTATTATAAATTATTTAATTATTTTCGTAAAAAATTTCAGAAAAGTTTGGCCCATTGAACGTAAAGACGTTGCTCACTGATGCTGAATTTAAAAAGTTTAATAATAACAATAAAAATGATAATAATAATAATAATAACAATAGTCATAGTAATGATGGTGTTAAAACTAAAGGAAAACCTCTACAAAGACAGCAACAACAAAAACAACAACAACATCAGCAACAACAACAACAGCAACAACAACAGCAACGACATACATTAGTGAAGAATAGAAGTATGGAGTCTAATGACGCTTCAACTCAAACTGGTTTGTTGATGTTGTTGTTGTTGTTGTTGATGTTGATGTTGTTGTTGATTTTTGTTGATGTTGTTGTTGGTTTTTGGCTTTAAATAAATCATTCATCAACTTTATTCATGTGTCATTTTGCAGTCAGAGAATCGTATGTTATCAAAAGAGGCAACAACAACAACAATAAACAACATCATCAACAACAACAACATCAACAACAACAACATCAACAACAACATCAACTGAAAACATCAACCAAACTGCCTTTAGAAAGAAATAAAACCAGCAACAACATCGTAAACAACAGCAAAAACACATTACATAATAATAATAATAATGTTGCTCGATTTTCGCAACATCAACAACAACAACAACATCAACAACAACAACATCAACAACAACATCAACAACAACATCAACAACAACATAATAACAGTCATTCTATCCAAGCATTTACAAACAACAGCAAAATTAGACATCAAATAATTGAGGAAAATGTTGATGAGGACGAAGATGACGATGGTCATTACCACAACAACAACAACAACAAAAACATCAACAAAAACATCAACAACAACAACAACATCAACAACAACGATGAAGATGAAGATGATGAGTATGAGACAGAAAGCATAAATATTCTTACTGATTCTTTAATGTTAGACAACAATAGTGATACAAACAACAACAACAAAAGTTACAACAACAACAACAACATTGATAGCAGTAACGATTACGATTACAGCAACAACAACGACGACGATGACGACGATTTTAATGATGACGTCATATTTGACAACAGCGTTGACAGCAATCGACAACAATTTTTTCACAACAACAACCACAACAACAACAACATTTCAACAATAGCATCAACTAATTTCATTCCACACATCGCGACAACGTCAACTTTAAAATATAGTCCTCTCGAGTCACCCACACGTAAATCCGTTGGTCCTGCTGCTGCTGCTGATGATGATGATTTGTAGGAATTGATTGACTGACTGACTAACTGACTGACTGAATGAGCGAGCGAGTGAGTGAGTGAGTGAATGAATGAATGAATGAATGAATGAATGAATGAATGAATGAATGAATGAATGAATAAATAATAATAATTACTATTCTTTTCTATCACTCAGTCCTCAAGAAGCGTTTTTAATCACGGCAACAACAACAGCAGTGGTAGTAATAGTAATAGTAGTTACAAAGCTCTCGAGAACCTATCAGAATTGAGGCAGGTCTGTCAGAAGATTGTGATTGGCTAGCCTATTAACATAATTTATTATTATTAATAAAGTCAATAATAATAATAATATTAATTAATTTATCTTTTTGTTTTCAAGGCACTAAAGAAAAAGCAAAGAGAATGGTCTCAGATGTCTTGACGATAATGATAATGATGATGATGAAGAAGAAGATGATGATGGTGATGATAACAATGATGAGGATGATAGCAATGATAATGATGATGATGACGACGACGACGATGACGATGATGATGAAGTTGAATAATGAGTCATAATAAACGTTGATTTTACTACACACATACACACACATAAACATACACACATACATACATACACACTCACACACATGCATGTACATACAAACACATACAATCGCGTACACACACACACACACACACAAATTTATATCTTATTTCGTAAATTTATTCAAGTGCCAAATAAAATGTTTTTATATCGCCTGGTGTTTTTGTCAACTCATTCCCTATAATTCCTTGACAATCCTCTTTTTTAATTTTTCATAATTTTGTAATAATTTTAAATGAATTTCCATATTTCCCTCTTAAAGTTATTCCTCTCCAAAGATTCAGTTGAAACAAATTTTTGAAAATTTTTAACAAAAATTTTCAAGCACCTTATTCTCGCGTTCGTCCGTTCGTATGATTTTGTGTATGTGTTTGTATACACACACACACACACACACACACACACACACACATAACTAAGCACATTTAATTAAACATTTAAATCTAATTAACATGCGGGAGGAGAAAAGAATCGTATTTTTTTGGATAGGCTGGACAAGTGGGTCGTCTCTGCCGGGACTCATCAGCAGCCCGAATACCCAACAGAATAGTTATCACAGTTTTATTTATCTTTAAGATTGTCAGTTTTTAGTGTATATATATATATATATATATATATATATATATATATACATATACATATATATATATATATATACATATGATAAATGCCTACCAACCTAACTATTTATAAGCATTGTTATAGTGCTTTGTCAATCGTAGATCCCA